AGAAAGCTACCAGTGACACTACCACTGGCCAAAGTTGTGACATTAAAAATTATAATAAATCTTCAAGTCAACTGAAATGCATTATTCTATTAAAAAGTATCGATATCCATTTTGTTCAACGATGAACAAAAAATTAAAAAAAATTACATAAAGTATTTGAAAAGAGATGAAGGGACTAGAATTTATTACTGCTGAGCCTTGTTATTTATTCGGCGTCCTTGGCTCATTTACTGTGTCTATAAAGAGTACAGAAATTAGCTAATGCTAAATATATGAGTTAGGAGGCAGTTTCTGACACAAAGTGGGACTGTCAGTAGAAAGACTCCATAAAGTGTGATTACAGATCAGACAAACAGCACAGGAAGTATCCAAAATTCATTTGTATCAGTTTTTAAATGATGCAAAGAACAGGAAAGAATGCATCGTGTGCAAATGTCATTACATGTAAGTGGAAAAGGCAAACATCTCTGTAAGGCACAATACAAGGTCAATTCAACAGAAGGGGCAGGAACAGAAGAGTTCAAGAGGTGACAGCAGGGCTGTCAGCCAAGCCTGCTCGTGCATGTTGAAACAAAGCCACAGAAGGCCCAGGACAGGACAAATCTTCAGACAAAAATAAATGCAGACAAAAGAGAAAAGGCTAAAGTTGCTAATCAAGAAACTAGAAGACTCCCCTGCAGAAACCAGCAAAACCCAAAAATGACGGGAATCTAGCCTCTGATGAAGCAAGTGAAAGAAAAGGCAAGTCCACTTAGTGTATCAGCCAAGTCTCACCAGTGGTCCTCATTCGTCTCTTCTTGTTAATCTCAAGGTATTTGTATCCATATGTTTATAAATGCAAATTTTTGGTGGCCCAAAATTATGGTGGACATTTTAAAGGGAGAAGTCTCACCTCTCATTCTATTTTTTTCATTTTTACATATTTAAGTAGGTGGGTCTTTTGTTGTTGTTGTTGTTGTTGTTGTTTTAGTGCAAATGTTTTTTTAAAAAGCTAACAGCGAAAAAAAATATGACAATGAATATATGTATGTTC